CTGGCCTGAGGCAGTGGGGCGACAGGGATTCCTCAGGAAACAGCATACGCAAAGCCCTAGTGGCATGAGAATACCAGAGCTTGGAGCACTCAAAGTCACCCATCCTGGAGGGTAAAGTGAGTGGTGAGAAGTACCCAGGAATGAGCCTGAGCAAATCTACCGAGGTTTAGTTGGGCAGGGGTGGGCCTCTAGACCCCAGGGAAGATGGGAAGGTCTCAGGAGCTTACAGACAGATCCTGCACCCCTCCTCTGTGTCCTCAGACCCTGGGCAGCGTTTCCTTGTGGGAGGAGGTGAGGAAGAGGGTGGAGGGAGAAGCTTAGCAAGTAAACAAAACCTGATTCTTCCCTCGGCTTCCCCTACAAACCAATACCTGCCCAGCAGCTCAGATGGGGCACCTGAGCCACCCCTCCCTGGCCAGTTGAAGGAAACTAGGTGTTGTCACATTCAAGAGTGGAGAGGGCTCAGAGAGGGGCGAGGCAGTCAGCCCAGAGCCAGGTGGGGGTGGGCGGCGAGGTGGCAACCTGGGAGGGCAGAGCTGTAGAACATGTGGGAGGTGGTTTTTGGCAGGGATTCCTACCCATCCATGGAAAGAGGCAGTCATCTTTACGGGCATGCCCCACAGGGGCATACAGAGAACACAGAGGGTGAATAGAGCCTGTGAGTGAAGCCAGGGATTGAGGGCAGCTGTGGTCTGGAACCTGGCACAGTACAGAGTCAAGTGGTGATCCTGCCCTCTCCTCTCTGGGGCCTCGCCAGGATGCAGGGGAGAGGGAAAGTATGAAGTGACTGTGACAGTCCCCTGGTGGGACTAGTGTTGCCCCAGACTGTTCAGGGATACACTGCTGCTCCCCAATGCCCTCTCTGCAGTTGCTTTCTGGGAGCGCTGGGAGGTAAGGGAGGGACGAGAAAGAACTACAGTGAGGGACAGGACTGTAAAAATGTGGACTTGTTTCAGGCGCATCGGCAGAGCTGACCTGTGATCCTGCAAGGTACGTGTGTGCTCCAGAACTGGACACTATGTGTCTGGGGCTTAGAGGTGCTGGGCAGAGCGCTATGTTACGACCAAATAAAGGGCAGAGGGCTGGGGGGTAGGTCCTCTGAGGCAAGGGGGGTGGGGTTAGAGGAGGCAAAAGAAAGGCATCCTAATCACAGTACTAAGGGGACAGCTTTGCAGTTGAAGCATTGCAACCTAGACTTACCTCTCCAGGCCTTCACCCATCCTCTGGCAGCACCCGCCTGTGCCCGAGACCTTCATGAGGGGTCTCACAGATGGCCCCACCCCATCAGGAGGGAATAGATTTTAGGAGATAGCCACTGCACCTTTAGGCCATGATCCCCGCGGTGGCTGTGAGGCCAGAGGAAGGGAGAGATGTGGGGCCTGCCCAGACTCCAGCAGCTAAGGCCTCTAGGAGCAGAGAGCAGACAGAGGCCTACTTCTCAAACCAGCATGACTTGGCTCCTTCAACTTTTTAGCCCTTGGCAGGAATTTGAGGGTCCTGAGGGTTGACTGTGGGAACCCTTTCCTGAGGGAAAGCTGGGGTGTAGGGTAGGTTCCTTGGAGCACATTCTAAGGCACCTTTTCTGCAGCTCAACCATGCTGCCTCCCTCCCCTGAAAACACACATACACAGTAGAATGTCAGTTGACACCTAGGGGACTGTGACAAGCTGGTCAACATACGGAGGTGGTCAACACAAGGAACTAGGCCTACGGTACTAATATGTACATGTGGTGCATGTCTGGTCTGTGAAAATTAGGTCGACTTAAGGAGGTGGTCAGTGTAGGGAGGTGGTCAACTCTGGAAGTTCCACTGTATGTCATCTCTCCCAGAACAGGCTAGGCTTAGCATTCAGCAAGGAATCGCCCATCTGGGTAATACTTTTATAATGTACAAAAACATGTTCACACCTATCGTCTGTTCTCATTCTTGCTACAGTTCTGTCAAGTAATAAGTGTCAGCGTAAATGACCTTATTACCTTAAGGTAATAATGTTTTAACAGAAGAGACAAAAGCTCAGAGAAAGTACTTTTTTTTAGTTCTTTGCCTCAAGTCACATGCTTAGTGCCTGAAAGGGGGTGTCAGTCCATATCTGTTGAGCTTCTGCTGTGTTCCAGGCAGAGCACTTGAACCCTAGGCACCTGATGCCCTTTAAATCTCACAGCAGCCCCACATTACCCCCGTTTCACAGATGAGAAAAGTGAGGCTCCGAGAGGTCAAGCAGTGTGCTGAAGCCTACAGAGTGACGGAAGTGCCTTAACTCTGCTGGGTGGGGGAGTCACTTGATACGGATTGGCGGTTGCTCTGGAGAAGGTAGGCCGGCCCCCGACTCCCCAAAAAGACAGGCTGTGTGCTCTTGCTTTTGTCCATGCCAGGTAGGAAAGGTTGGTGTAAATTGGGAAAGATGGAGGAAACATCCATCACAAGGGGGATGTAATGGGGGCAGAGCTGGGTTTCTATTCCTCAGGGTAAATTTAGGTTCAGAAATCACCCTTAGTGGTGGGGTGTGTTGGGGTGCCTGAGGGAGGGGGAAGAGAGATCAGGTCTCAAAGGTTGGGAAGAGGAAGGAAGGAGAGAGACCAGGCAGGCCCTGTCAGCTGTGCCCAGCAGGGATTCTTGTCTGGTTCCTGCTATTATGGGAGAACATCTACAGACACACTCAGGCCACAAGGCCACAAAAAAGCAGCTGGAGCCTTCGGCAGATGCCTGGACCAGTCAGGGGCCCCTTGTACCTTCCAGGGAAGTGGGCCAGGTGTGGTGTGGGGCTGCATGTTGGGGGTTGGGGGGTGGGGTTGTATTAAATGAGCTTTCAGCTTATTTGCATGTCCTAATTAACCGTAAAATGAGTCCCAGAGGCAGAATTAAGCTGTCAGTTTCTCTCTGCTTACTTCCACCATCTCCTACCCATAGGCATTCCCACTGAGGTGGGGGAAGTAAAAATTTGGTGGGAGGAGAAATGAATTACCATAACCTTTCATTAGCAAAGCATGACATAGCGCCCTGTCAAGGCAGGCAGAATTCCTCCATCAGTCACAGACAGCCACAGTCCGCAGGCCTTTGATTGTCTGTGCAGGGACATGGATAATATGGGAGGATGGGGGTTTTGTTGTCTCTCTAGATTTGGCTCTGGAATGGATAGGGACAATTTGGGGGGGAGTATGAAACGCACAAGACTGGAAGTCAGTCGGAGCTGTTTGAGCTCTGCCATTGTGTGGCCTTGGACAAGTAGCTTAACTTCTCTGAGAATTTCTATGTAAAATAAGAGCAACAGCAACGACTTTCAGGGTGCAATGAGAAGGAAATAGGAACACAAAAGAGTTGATGCCTGGCACCTGTGAAGTACCCTGGCACCAAGGGTCACTTCCTAACTGCTTTTTTCTGGCCCAAGTTATAATGAATTTTCAGTCCCTTGAATCTCTTCTGGTTAACCAGAAGTCTCCTTTATTTTCCTGGATCCCCTCGAGGTCAGGAACTGGGTCCTTTCCATTGCTCTGTTCCTTAGCTCCCTGGCATCGAGAGGTGTTCATAAAGTTTGGTTCCATTGATCCGAACTGCTATGACTGGTTCACAAAACAGATGAGTTGCAGATGAATGGCTTCTTGGCTTGGTTTCCTATAGAATTATTCCAGACTTGGAGCTGGTGTCATCTTGAATAATTTGCTGGATGGCTTCTCCATCACCCAGCAGCCCATAGCTCCCTCCTCCCACAAATCAGTGACTCAGTGGTGGAATCTTCATTGTCCACAGACACACACATACACACACAAAACCAAAGGCAGCCACAGCCAACAAACGTCACCCAAGACTGAAATGTCAGCGTTCTCTAGGGAGAGACAAAGCATTGGTAAGGGCTGGCTCCTCTAGAAAGAGCTAGCTCAGTTGGCAAAGTCCAGGTACAGAGGAAAGGATGGGTTTGGGAGCCAGATAAACCCTCAGGTTCAAATCTTGGTTCTTTCATTGGCTAGCAACCTAATCCGGGCAGTTAGTATAACCCCTAAGAAGTTCCACTAAGGTATCTGGAGAACGGTGCTTTCAGGAGTCATTCTAAATTACAAAGAGGTATGCACACTACCTTGCAAATAGCAAGTGTGCAAAACAACAACAAAAACCATAAGCATTTTCCCTGCCTTCTGTAGTTTCCCCCACCAAAAACTAACTGTGTGGAGATTGGAGGGTGACCCTAACCCCTCACCTTCAACTCTGAGCTCTAAACCTACTCCCTCCATCTCTGCAGCTGGCTGTCCAGGAAGCAGGAAGAAGAGCCTTCTTTGTTATTTTGCTTCTCTAATTTGATATTAACGTTCCAAGGGCAGGAAGGCGTCTTGCCTCTAATTGCAGCTGTCACACCCAATCAGGCTAAGGGGTGATGGGCCTGGAGGACAGAGAGGGGAGAGGGCGTGCCCTCTTGGGCTGGCCTGGCCAGGACCCACACCCTCCTTTCCCAGCACGTGGGCCTTCTCTGCTGGGGTGGGAGGGACAGTGGCTTGCAAGCCCCAAATCTTCTGGCATCTCTCCCCAGCCCTGTGCTCAGAACAGCTTTAGAAAAGGCTGGGCATGGTAATCCTAGAACTCTGGGAGGCCAAGGCAGGTGGATTGCTTGAGCTCGGGAGTTTGAGACCAGCCTGAGCAAGAGTGAGCCCCCTCATCTCTAAAAATAGCCTGCCATTGTGGCAGTGCCTGTAGTCCCAGCTACTTGGGAGGCTGAGGCAAGAGGATTGCTTGAGCTGCCATGAGCTATGACAGCTCCCATGACTCTCTACCCAGTGTGACAAAGTGAAAAAACAACTTTAGAAAAGCTGGGCTGAACTGCACCTGGCCCTTCCCCCCACCCTGCCGAGTCTGGGTGAGGGGGAAACCTGAGGCCAACAGCATCTGGTATGGAAGAGGCTGCAGCAGGGAGCTAGGAATTTTAAGAGTATTTCTTCTGGGCTTCTCTTCACTGGTGAATTTATATGTTAATCTGTCCTGAGTGGGAGTTGAATGCAGAAGACAAGGAGTTGGGGCGGGGGCTCTAAGGACCATTGGGGAAGAGGGTAGGGAACTCCAGAGCTCAGCTTCTCCTCTGCAGTCAGGTTTGGACTGTTCCACCTCCTGCTGTGGGTGGTGTTCCTGGACAGGGAGTATATCTGGGCTTCTTTCCTCGCATGCAAAATGGGATGATGCCTGCCTTGGGTGCCCACTCACAAATGAGATCATGTTTATGAAAAGGCTTTCAAATGTGTACCATGCCACACCGGATCCTCCCGCTGCCCTGGGCATTTGGGGACACAGAGGAATGTGGGGGCTTCCCCAGCTGCTCCTTCCACACTACACTCATTCATCTGGTCTCTTGGGGGCCAGGTCTGGGCTGAAACCTCAAAGGCAACTATAAACAGGAATGTGTTCTGCCTCCCTACTGCTCTGACTCCCAGGAGGGCTGGGTTCAGTCTTGTGCCAGGGATGTGTTAAAAGGTTGGAGCATCAGAGATGGGTCTTTCTTAGGGGCCTCTCTGGGGAACCTGAGGCTCCAGTACCCTTTTCCATCCAGGATGTTCAACAGAGGTCTTTGGGGGCACTGGACAAATGTCAGAGGGATGTCCTGGTTTCCTTCTGCCCTCCCCTGCTGTCACCTCCAGCCCCACAGTGAGCAACACACACACACACTCTCTCCCTCTCTCTGGCTCTTACCTCTCCCCCTAACCAGCCCCTGAGACAGCCTCTCCCAACCACATTCCCTTCAGCCCTGCTCTGGCAACTCTGGCTTCTCCCTCCTTTCTGGGGAAAATGAACTTGGAGTTGTGCTTTTGAAAGCTATATTGCCTGCCCCCTCCTTCTCCCCAGGGGCCCGGCAATGGGGGGTGGGGGTGGTGTTGGCCCTTTCAGGTCAGTCAACTTCCTGTCTCTAGGATTCATACCCAAACAGCTGTGTTGATATCAAAGCCTGAGGGTGAGGGTTCCAGAGCCTTAGGGCAGCTCGTGGAGGAGTTTTCCCCTCGTCTGTGCTCCCCAGTGCCTGGGAAGGGGAAGTGTCCAGAACCCTTGGAATGGCCTCGCTTCTTAACTTTCTGGGAGCGTCCCACTCGGGGCTCAGAGACTGCAGGTGTCACCCAGCCTGGTTTCTCCTTCAGCAGCCGGTCACGGTCAGGCCGCACGCTACGCAGGAACTTCCTAAAGATGTTCGCTGTTAGGGCAAACCTACGGCCCAACTCCCGAGGCTGGCCTTTCTCCCGTTTGGGCTTGCCCACTCCCCCAGTCTCACCCTTCTCCCCACCCTTCTCCACTTCCGGCAAGTCGAGCCAGTTTCCCACCAGGTCCGCAAAAACATTGTCCCCTAACACCAGAGGCTGTCGATTCCGGCCCCGGGACATCAGTGTGGAGGTCCAGTCATCGGGTTCTACCTGCTCTTGCTCCTGCTGGACACAGCTGTGGTTCGGCAGCTGTGTCCTGGGCAGGGGGACTAACTCCCTCTCACAGACATCCCCATGGGATGGAAACTTGCTGGTGCCAAGAGAAGGCTGACTGGCAGGGGAATAGGCCACGGGCCTAGCAGGACCTCTGCTGCTCTCCCCTCGAGGGTGCTCGGGCTGTATCCCAGGACTTTCAGGGCAGCCTGGCACAGGCCCCCCTCCAGAGATCTCCAGTTGCTCTAAAGCTGTCTGCACCTGTAGAAGCTTCAGTTCTTGCAGCGCACCCATCATGCAGTTCATCTGATCCTGTAAGCCATCACCCACCTCCTTCATGGACATCTGCAGGGGAGAGAGGAGGCACAGGGCCAGTGAATCATGGGAGGGCTGCCCCTGATCACCCTGAAGCCAGGCCACCCACCAGACCCACATGTCTAGGGTCATCAGCCACCTGCCACTAACCTCCCTGTGCCCAGTAAAGTGCAGATCAGGGTTGGATAAAGGAGATAACATTAATGGCAGATGACTAGCTAAGGTAGGCTCTATCCTAAGCTATCTGTCTGTCTATCTATCTATCTATCTATCTATATTTTTTAATCTCCCCACCTACCCTGAGGTTGTGGCTATTATTGTTCCCATTTTATGGGCAAGAGCATTTAGGCACATAAATAGCTTTCCCAAAATTAGATAGTAAGAGGTAGAGCTGAGACCAGTCTGAAGGTGCAGAAAGTTATAGGGACCATCCTTGCTTGTCCTTTTCTGTGTCTGACCCTCTTTTTGCCTGAGCCTTACTGAAATGATGATGGTGGCGGCAATAACAATTTGAGAACATTTATTGTGTAACAGGAATTGCATTAAGTACTCTACTCACTTTATTTCAATTGAATCTTTATTAAATGAGGTTGCTTTTTTTTTTTTTTTTAGAGATAGAGTCTCACTTTGTCACCCTTGGTAGAGTGCTGTGGCATCACAGCTCACAGCAACCTTCAGCTCCTGGGTATACGCGATTCTCCCACCCCAGCCTCCCCAGTAGCTGGGACCACAGGCGCTCGCCACAATGCCTGGCTGCCTTTTTGTTGCAGTTTGGCTGGGGCCTGGTTCGAACCCGCCACCCTTGGTACAGGAGGCTGGCGCCCCACCCACTGAGCCACAGGTACCGCCCATGAGGTTGCTATTTTAACCAAGGAATAAACTGGCAGGGGTGAAGTAAATTACCTAAGGTCACATTGCTCATAGAGCTCAAACACAGGACTGTCTCACTCCAAGTGCTGTGGTCCTAACTACCAAATACGGGTTGAGCATCCCTGATCTGAATATCCAAAATATGAAATACCTCCAAATCCAAAACTTACTGAGCATGGACATGGTAGGGTTTTTGTGAGACATTTTATCCTTGTTGCCCAGGCTACAGTGCAGTAGCATCATGATAGCTCACTGCAAATCCTCAAATTCCTATGCTCAAGTTATCCTCCTGCCTCAGCTTCCTGAGTAGCTGGGATTACGGGTATTTGCCACCACATCCAGATAGTTTTTCTATTTTTCTTTTTCTTTTATTTATTTTTTTTTTTTTTGAGAGAGAGTCTCACTCTATCTCCCTGAGTAAAGTGCCATGTCCTCATCATAGCTCAGACCAACTTTAATCTCTTGGGCTCAAGAGATCCTCTTGCCTCAGCCTCCCAAGTAGCTGGGACTATAGGCACATACCACAACAACCAGCTAGTTTTTCTGTTTTTAGTGGAGATGGTGTCTCACTCTTGCTCAGCCTGGTCTTAAACTCCTGAGCTCAAGCAATCTGCCCACCTTGGCCTCCCAGACTATGTGAGCCACCATGCCCAGACAATGTTTCTATTTTACAATGGAGATGGGGTGTCTCTATGTTGCCCAGGGTGGTCTCAAACTTCTGGCTCTAAGTGATCCTCTTGCCGTGTCCTCACAAAGTGCTGGGGTTACAGTCAGTGCCCTAGTTTTGTTTTTTTTTTTTTTTTTTGAGACAGAGCCTCAAGCTGTCCCCCTGGGTAGAGTGCCGATGCATCACAGCTCACAGCAACCTCCAACTCCTGGGCTCAAGAGAGTCTCCTGCCTCAGCCTCCCAAGTAGCTGGGACCACAGGCACCCGCCACAACACCTGGCTTTTTTTTGGTTGCAGCCGTCATTGTTGTTTTGGCAGGCCCGGGCTGGATTCGAACCCACCACCATAGGTGTATGTAGCAGGCGCCTTAGCCACTTGAGCCACAGGCACTGAGCCAGTCCCCAAGTTACAAACATCCAACTCACGTATGACTCACTCTTACAAACAGAGGCTATTACAGGTAATAGGTAAATGTACCTATTCCAATTTACATACAAATTCAACATAAGAACAATCCTATGAACCTATTTTGTTCGTGATGCAGTGACTGCCTGTATAGAGTCACAAGCCCCCATACCCAAAATGAATTCCTTGTATAGACTTGGGGCCCATCCCCAACACCTCTCATTACATATATTCAAATACTCCCTCACCCCCTGCCAAAAAAATCCAGAATCCAAAAACACTTCCATTCCTGAGCATTTCAGATACAGGATTTGACTTGTGCCGCCTCCAGATGGCAGAGTAGTAGGCTTTAAGGCTGCTCTGTCTTCTATGGGCAGTGGAGAGGGTTGAAATGGACACGAACGGATGAGGAGGAGCTCAGATTCCCAAAGAGAAAGGGCAGGCCTGGGGTTTCCTTTAACTGCTGTTCACATCAGATTGGTCAGAAGGGAGACAAGGCCTAGAAACTCTTGTTTTGCTAGAAACCCTTGCCCAGTTCTTCCCAGCCTGTTTCTCTCTCTCAAACACCTGTCCTCTCTCAGCTGCTCTCTGACTTGGCTCCAACATCTTCCTGCCTTTTCAGCCCAATTGCTCTGCTGTCCTGGCCAAGCCAGAGTGGGGATCCTGGGGGCCAGTTCTCCCAGCCTCTTTGTGAGTGTCTAAGGCCTGGGTCCCAGGTGCCAGCTGGAAGGGGTTGAGAGATTGACTTGGGTGAGGGCCGAATTTGGAGGCTGGGGAGGGGAGGCTTTGTCTGATAACATTCATAGGGTTCCCAGTCCCAGGCCCAAGCTGCCTTGATTCCGCCAGCTCCCTCCCCAGATCCTGATCAAGTTACCAACAGCAAACCTCACGTTCAGGGACCATCTGTTTCTTAAGCCCCCCAGAGAACTGTGGGATCATCTTACCTCCCAGGCTTGTCTTAATGCACAGAGCTAAGCCCAGAGGGTGGAGGGGTGGAGGGATCGAAGAGCAAGCATGAAGGCTCTGCAGGGCTGGGCTGGCAGCTGACCCTCCCAGGCGTCTAGGTCTAAACCTCCCCTACCAACCCTGGCCCTGGCAGGGATGGGGGATCCAGGCTAGGCTGCCAGTGAGACAGCAGCACTAAAGGACAGGGGTGGACTGACTGTCCAGAGGGTAAGGAGGCCTTTGCTGAGGTGTGAGGATTGTCCACACTTTGTGCACATTCCCCATGACATCAAGAAGTGGTGGTTTGAGCCCCTGACGGCCCTGGGATTTGCCAGCTGCTTGGGCAAGTGTATGCCATTTGAGTGGTGGCAGCAGCAGCAAAGGACACAGAGCCCGTGGGGTGACTGTGCCTCTTTGCATCTACCCTCCTGATGCCTGCCTTTCAGAAGCACCCCGCAGCAGCTTACCAGCTCCTGAGTCAGAGCAGAGTCAGAGGACACTCTGAGCCCCAGACCAAACTCGATTCCTTCATGGCAAGCTGCTTCTCCTTCAGCGTCCCTGTTCTCCCCTCCCACCAGGCCACTTCTTTGAACCTCAGAGTCATTTTTGGCTTCTCCATCCAACCACCCCTCCTCCTGTCCAAATTAATCTGTACCATGTTAGATTCTTCCTCCCTTAGATGTCTTGCATCTTTCCATCCATCCCCTGGCTCCTTGAAGGCTTCTGGGCCACCAGACACGAGTGGCTGATGGATCTTCCCAACACACATATCTATTATCCCACTTGGTGGCTCTCCATCTCCCAGACTCTATTTAAAACCTGCAGTCAAGACCCTCTGTGACAGGTTTCTAACTTCTAGGGGATTAAACAACCACTCTTAACATTTTTATTGGGCATCTCCCACTTGAGGGCAGAGACTGAGATCTGTACATCATTATGTTACCCCAGAATCTTGCTATCATTGTGCACTTGCTACATAGCCATGAGGACCACTGACCACCCAAATTGTCCCTCCAACTGCTATCTTCACACAGTAACGCACTACACAGGGAGGAAGAATCAAAGCTGTTCCTTAAGGTTTCATTTCAGCAAGAGGCAAAGAGTCTGAGCTGGCAGGCTTCCTTCTAGAAGGCTAAACACAGCCCAGGTCAAAGGCAGTGGGAGGAATGAAATGACCCCATTCAATATCTTCCAGTGTGGAAAAATCTGTAAGAAATACTGCGGATGTTTTGTACATTTTCCCAGTGAGAATGAATGTGTGGGTATGTCTGACTTCAGGGCTGCCCATAAAACAGAGGCCCCATTTAAGTACACCAAGGCTGAAAATGCCCCCATATGGAAAATTATATTCCATGTTGGTTAAGAATTTGGGCTGGGGAGACAAATGGAATGGAGTTCAAATCTCAGCTCTGCCACATAGTCACTGTGTGACTCCGGCACATTAAAGTCTCTTTTTTTTGATTTCTCCATTCTTCAAAATGGGAGTAATAGTTTTTGCCCCCTAGAGCAATATATTGTGCAGATCAGGTGAGGTAAGTGAATCTCTGTGTGGCAAAAAGAAAGCACAAAAAGAATTTTGGCTATTAATTTAAGACTTCTTATGCACTTCCAGACATTCTTCCTCATTGAAACTTAACACATAGTGATGACAGGATTCCACTTATCATATCTGGTCCAGTCAAGGAGAAATCCATCTCTTGTCCTGCCCCTTCTCCCCCGGCCCCTGCCCCATGCAGGGGAGAGAAAAGGACACCTCTGCATCCTCTTGCCCACTCCTGCATGAGCTCAGCCGGCCCAGCCAGGCAGGACACAGATACTGAAGAGTGAGCGGCAGCTCTGAGAGGGCTGAGAATGGAAGGAGGAAGTCAAGTCGTGGGAAACTGGGAGGCTGGGGCAGTGGTGAGGCAGGATCATCTGGGCCTTGACTGAGAGGGGAGTAGCAGGATAGCTTTTCCCAACTGACCCCAAGGGACTGATGTTACCCAAGAAGGCAGAGCCAGAGGCCAAGCCGCTGTCTTCATCTAGAGCGTGGGACCTTCTCAGATCCCAGGGCTTCTCTTGCCTCAGGAACTGAAGAGGGAAAAGAGGGAGCAGTGTCGGGTGTGGAGCAAAGGAGAGGGTCAGTTCAGACAGACAGAAGCCT